GGAGGTTGAGGCTGGTTCTTCAAATGAAACCATAAAAACTTAGGTCCAGTGTCGCAGTAGATACTGGCACGAAAAAGATTCCTCACTGCTCAATGGCCTTAAGTGCTGCATACAAGTCTAAATTTGGAGCCCTTCACCAGAGAAATGTTTAAATAAATGTTTAAATAAATGTTATCCCAATAATTCTCAAAGGCATTCAAATCAAAGAAACTATCAATCTTCAAGGCCTTATTAAAGAAAATACACAAACGTCTCAGGAAGCTTGTATCATAATTTCAAAATCTATTTGAAAAAGTATGTTGACCATATTTAATTGAGACAATTAATCCATATCTGGGTGAATTCAAAAAAAATGACCACCAAACTGAATTTTTTTGGCAAAATTAAACTACTTATAACATATTTTTCACTTATATCATCATATTGCAAATGCATTCTAGTTTAAAATCCTGAAGTGGCAATGGAATAGACAATTGGATTAAAAAGTTTCAGAATTTTTATTAGTAAAATTTCTTTTGAAAAAAGAAAATATCATTACACCTTGAAAGACTTTCTAAAATACATAATCACAAGAAATTATACTTTTTTATGCTTCAAAATGGTAAAAGGGGTATAGATGATTAAATCTAGACATTGAATGAGTATCTTCTCTTGTACATGTGACAAAAAATTGGCTTTTTGATTGTTATTTTACATCATTTTTTTTCAATTCTGGATTGAAAAGTTTTAATATGAAAAAAATATGAAGCAATAAAATCCCCCAAAGTTCACTTTTTTGTCCGTTCAAGTCAATTCTTTAAATGTAGGCCAAAAAAGAATTGTTATATACGAGTTCTCTTACAAAAAATATTAGATTTTGAAGTGACCCTATGTTACATTATTGTGTTGCACTCCTGACATCTGATATGTATTTTATTTAACATTGTTTTAAAAATTATAACACACAATAACCCATTCTTACTTTGTAAATCAATTTGTCGTGTTGATATTTTTCATCGTTTACAGCAGGTTTTTCATATTTTGAAGACCTTAAAACATGATTATTTGCAAAGTGTAATATATATAAATTGTATTTAAAATATATGTGAAATGATGAAAACTATTCCCTGAATTGACTGTAAAATTTCTGTAATTTGTTGATAGACATAGTGTTTTGAACATCAAATAGTATCAAGCATTTTTTTTTCAACTTATTTTTTAGTAAAGATAGTTAAAAAGCATCGGTAATTATGAACCAGTTTTGTTGCACTCCTGACTGCAGTAAAGTTTAAAATTAAAACCATAGAACACAAAAATTCATAAAGTGTTGGCAACATCAAGTGGTAATGAAATTGTGCAATACTTATAGTCCAATACTTCATAATTAAACAGATGAAAGTATTTAAAATTCACATTTTATCTGGAATTATACCCTATTTTATGCCAAAAAAACTAGCTTAAATGTATTTTAGAAGATAAAATATATTTTTATAGCATATTTTCCTTTAGAGGACAAACACAGTAACCCACCAGAAGAATTCTACTCATCATTTTTTCTTTATTTTTATTCTTATTGGATGATTTATAATTCTAACATATTTGTTGCACTCCTGACCAAAAGCAGAGGGGCCTTTAAAGTAGAATTGTGAAGTGAAAATTACATAAGAACTTGTTCTGTTGTTTCAGTGAAGTTGAGGAGGAATTACTTGAATTTAAGGACAATGATTTAGTGTGTTTATTTTTAATGTTCATTAAAAAAATCACAAAAAAGATAAAAACACATCTGAATTGATAAAATTGAAAAAGGAAGGATTTTAATAATAAAACTGTCAATAATTTAGCATTAAATTATACAAAAAGATCATTATTAATTAATGAATACTTCTAAGCATGAATAGAAGTCTTTTCTTCACACAACTTGAATCTTTAAAAAAATGTGTTGCACTCCTGACCATAGAAATATGGATCTGAAGCACAGACAGATCCTGTAATTGATAAATCTATTTGGTAAAAATGTTCTTAGTGTCTTTATTTTCCAAAATAAAAATCAGAAAATCATATAATGATAATAGTTTTTTCATGCTTGGGAGCAAAACATCAAATGTTGCACTCCTGACATTTTTGGGTATGCACATATACTTGACTCTCATTAATGCTGCTTGTGATTTATATAACATTTTTAAGTTTTAAAATGTATATCAGTTATTATTTTACACTTCCAAAATTCTTTTTTGTCTTAATTTTCTATGAGAATTTTACAATTGATGTTTTTTTGGCAACACTACATTTTTTCTGTTGCACTCCTGACATGGTAAAGCATTTTTTTAAACATCAGCCATGACCACAACTTGAGTAAACAAAAGTTATGACAGCCCACATTTAAAGCTCAGTACTTTGAATATTATCAGGAAAGTCTTTATTTTCAACATGAAGCATTATTTTTTATTTCTCAGATCTCCAAAAAATATTGAAATTTCAAAATGTCACAAAAAGGTGTTGCACTCCTGACAATTTTAGCATCATTTTTGGGCATAACTTTTTTGTTAATTGAGATATCAACAAGATATTTGGCAGGTATTTAGACACTATCTAAAGACATATGCTGAGACATAGAAATCTATTTTCATTGCATGTATTTTTAGTGTGGGTTGATAAATATGTGTTTGGTCATTTTTTTTGAATTCACCCATCTAAAAATGATAAAATGTCATACACAATGTCAAAGTCATGAAGAAAGGATGTTGAATTCTATTCATTTGGATGAAATATGCAGACTTATTTACAACTCTTATGGTCCCATATACATGTAGTAAACATAGGAATATTGATGAACAGTATATAAGATCAAACCTCAAATGAAATAAAATGCAGTGAAATTGATTGGTTTGTACACAAGGTGATCGTGAGGAGGGAATACGGGCGTAAGCATGCTCTCTACGTACTTAATTTTAAGACAGGTTGGCAAATACAATCGAAACACGCTTAATAGGTCATTGTATATTTTATTTTATTAACGAAGTGTTTCAAGAGTGTAGGATTCTTATATGCTAAAGGCATAAGGTTGATACATCGTCTTGCTTTTAAAACATGAACTAACACTCCGTTACCGAGACATGTTGTGGACGCCATTTTGTTTCCAACAAACGCTTGAAAATCACAGAACAAAATCAGTCGTTCTGATAAAAACGGATCTTGGTGGATTGATTGATTGATTGTATATTGTTTTACGTCCCATTCGAGAATTTTTCACTCATATAGAGACATCACCATATATCGGTGAAGGGCTTTTGACCTTTACTCGGCACTCAGGGCCATTGAGCAGTGAGGGATCTTTATCGTGCCAACGCCTGCTGTGACACGGGGCCTCGGTTATTGATATTTTTTGAAACAAAATCTTGCCTCAAAATGAGCTGAAAAACGACGTTTTTCTTATATAATTCAATAGAATAACGCTGAAAATGTAACGACAACAATGGCATGTTTGGGATTTAATTATACAAAAACGATGCAGACGAATTTTATAAAATTTTCAGAGAATATAAAACGAGGGTAAAGGATTCATATAACTAATTTTCATGGTATGTTTTCGGACACTTTTAAATGACCTGCAAACCCACGACCTACGTTAAGATGGGTCTGTTTATTTTCTGTTCATCAATCTGTCTGTCTGTAACACTTGATTTTCTTCATATTTCTAGAAAGCCTTCAGTGCAATGAAATTTTATACTGTAACTCATTTTGACTTATCCACTGCGGGACATGATTAATCGTCAATACAAATTTAATATTGTATATAAATTAAACATTACCCCTATAGATTTTGAAGTGAAATGGTCAGAGGTCAAGGCCTCTTTTTTTTATTTAAATTTTTGTTATTAATTGTTTCTGTTTGGTATCTGAAACTCTTTTTAGTACAGAATTCTTTCAGCAGTGAAGAGCCCCCCCCCCCCCCCCCCCCCAGGTTGTTGATTTAAATTTTTTTTTATTATTATTATTATTTGTCATTGTAACTCATTAATATTCTATGAGAGCCACTTCAGAATGTATTAACATAGCTTGAAAATAAGAAAATCTGTTTTTCCCTCTTGTGTGTAAATCATTATTTTGAATCATAGTTATATGGATTCTTATAACTGCACTGTAATGTTATAGCAGTAAAATTGTAAAGGTATTAGTTGTATATCAGATACCATCAGCATTTCTTATTATTTTATGTAATATTTTTTTCTGTGTGGCCATGAAAGTTTATAATACATACATTCATTAAATTTTTTCAGCGATTTTATTATTATGTTTTGTTTTTATACATAAATTTTAAAATAGATGTCCTAGGATATCCTTGGACATCCTAGGAATTCCTGGTTTCCTGGGACATTTTTAAGTCTTGGGATATCTTGGGAAGTCCTGGCTTTTTGATTCCTGGGATTTTTCTAGAACCCTTTTATTGGGACTGTCCAAGAATCCCAGGAATTCCTGTTCCAAAAACATCCCAGGATATCTTAGGAACAACCCTGGGATTTTTTCAAGATATCCTAGGAATAAATCTTGAGATTATCTTAGGATTTCTTAGGATATCTCAGGATAATTCTGCAAGGGTGGTCACTCATCTGGAAAATGTAGGCCAGATCCAGGATCTGAAGCAAGTCTGGTAATGTCCATCCCTAGATGCTTCATCCATGCAAGTTTGGTCTAGATAGGGCTTATGGTTACCTGGGAATGGACTTGCTCCTTAAACTAAAGGATGCCAAGGCTAAAGACGATACCAATGCCGACACCACTGGCTCATCTTGACTTTGTCGAGGTGGACTAAAAATCAGATATAAAAAAAGAGAACCAAAGAACTGCTTGGACTGGTTATATTATTAAAGAATGCTAAATTATATTCATCCATGTTCTGGTTTTTTTTTAAATGGGGGAGGTAACAAGCATTTCTGATGAGATTTTTTTTGTACCTGCAAACTGCGATGGTGTGGATCAGGTGAGGACCCGAACTGCGAGAAAGAAAACATGTTCTTGTTTACCTGAGACTTTGTGGAGAAACTCATGCTCATAATTTCCAATAATTCGTAATCCATCCTCCTCTTCAACCACATGGACTGGGGACTCAAAATTGAAGTTGATCCAGTCTTTATCAGGCCCTACAACTAACATAGTTCTATTCCACAGGCCAACAACAGCTCCCGAACCACACCTATTGTAAAACCATAACCATACAATGCAAATTACGTACATGCAAATTATACAATTTCACATAGAAAAGAAATGAGTATGCACTATCTGCTGCTGTTATTAACTTATACATGCAGTTATTACCAACATCATATTTTCCAACTCAAATCTATTTTAATGTCCCAGATTTTTCCTTACAGAGAATATAATATTTATGTCTTTCCACCTTTCTGTGGAAAGACCTATTGAAATTGTTCTGTTTATTAGGTCTTTCCAACTTTCCTGTGGAGAGACCTCTTTCAATTGTTCTGGTTCAGGTCTTTCCATATTTCTGCAGAAATTATTCTGTGCATTAGGTCTTTCCTCCTTTCTGTGAAAAGACCTAATGAAAACGATCTGTTTGTTCTTATTATTATTAGGTATTTCCACCTTTCTGTGGAAAGACCTACCGAAATTGTTCTGTTTATTAGGTCTTTCCACCTTCCGTTGGAAAGACCTCTTGAAATTATTCTGTTTATCAGGTCTTTCCAACTTTTCTGTGGAAAGACCTCTCTAAATTGTTCTATTTATTAGGTCTTTCCATCTTTCTCAGGAAAGACCTACTGAAAATGTTCTGTTTATTATTAGATCTTTCCACCTTTCTGCATACGTCCAAGAGCTAATTCGATGTCGATATCGAAAATATTATGTTGATATCGTTACGATATCGATCCTGATCAGTACTATGAAATTGGAAATACTGAATACCATATAAGACTTAGTGCAATGTTGATATCATTGATGTCAACAATATCATGACAATATCGATTCTGCTCTGTACAATTCATTTTCAAGTTGAGGTATAACATAATTATTTAAGGCCACAAGCAATGTCGATATTGATTCATTATTGAATACGTAAATAAATAATGATGACAAACCAAAGGGTTAGGAGTTGTTATTGTCAGGGGTTAGGATAAGGGTAAGTTTTGGGTTAGAGTGAATGTTGGTAAAAATATAATGGTGTGAACAATCATGATTCAATATCGATATGATATCGTCTATATCAACTGTAGGGCAAACTTAATAATCAGAAAGTACATACGCACAAGTATGACATAAAGAAATACAGTCATAAAAATGATGATGAAAATGATTCGATATCGATATATTGATGATATCGATGGCAGGTTCAATCTTCATAAATGTAAAGTATTTAAACATAGACACACATACACAATGGAAGGATGGTACCAACCAAGGGTTGAGCAAACATGATTCAATATCGAAGCGATATTGTCAATATCGACAATATTGACACTTCAGGGAAAACTTCATAAACTATGACTATATGTTAAGTAGAAAAGCTTATTCCCTTTCAGTTCCACAAAGACATTGCTAGTTTTTTTTCTTGTGTATTAAAATTTAAATAAATGTTTTTTTAAGCACACTATCACAGTCGATATTTAATCCATAATATTATCTGTAATTCTCAGAACTAGCTCTTACATGTGTTTCTATAGTAACTGAAAAATGTGTTAGAAATGAATATTTTTATTTATTATATGATTGAATAATTCCCATCTCTCTGATTGGCTGAGATCCAACAATGTTAGAAAAATACTACATTATATTGACCTGCACGTGACCTTCCAGGTCAATATAAGGAATTATTTCCAGGTCAATATAAAGAATTCTTTATTCTACATTGGACCAAAAATAGATAATCATATAATAAAACAGTTATTGCTGTTTTTTGAGGTCAATACGATTAATTAGACACCTTCGAAGTACAATATTCACTTCACCCTTCGGGCTCAGTGAATATTGTATTCCTCAGGTGTCTAAATCATCGTATTGACCTCAAAAAATAGCAATAATTGTATAATATATTCAATATAATTATGCTGCAGGTGGTTATATATTCAATTGACTTGATTTATTATCTTATATCAATGATTAATTTGTCATCTTTGACATAACAACAAAATGTTGCTGCACGTGACTTATCTGTACATTGCCGTATTTTAATTTAAACTTTCAATATCTTTCTAATTAAATAAACTTACAACATTTATTTTGTATATTAAATCATTTTATTATATGATTGAATAATTTCCCTCTCTCTGATTGGCTGAGATCCAACAATGTTAGAAAAATACTACGTTCTATTGACCTGCATGTGACCTTCCAGGTCAATATAAGGAATTATTGAAGGTCAATATAATGAATCACGTAACCTTCCAGGTCAATATAAGGAATTATTGCAAGTCAATATAATGAATTATTCCTGTTCCATTTTTCCTGTTACAATGTGTTCTTGTTGAAATTTCTCGTTAAAACTTTCAATTAACCCTTTCAACACAGTAGACCGATTGATCAGTCTCAGACACAAAACTGAAAGTAAACGTTTATTCTTAGAAATAGAAAGTATTCTCTGCGCAAGAACTTTCGCTATGAATTATGGGTAGATGGATATAAACATCCGTTAACAAATATGGCGGACCACATGGTGAAAATCACGGAAAAATAAGGAAAATTAGATGATTCCTAAAGAAAACGAAGAGGAAAGCAAAATGGCGGTTAACAACAAAATGTCCGATCTTTCTGGTGATGAAAACTTTAATAAAACCGGGGAATTAGACATTATAGATGTTTCTAAACAACAAAAATATGAGTTTTTAATAATCTTTCAATGTTGAGAAATTTAGTTGGAGAAACTTGACTCGGAATCGGACTTTTAAGGCTCCGAAACAGAGGATGTTTTTGACACCCCAGACTTCTCTCGATGTCTCGAAACACCACGTTTTATTTATTTATTATTATGGACTTATTTTTCAATAAATCCTGACATATTGCATATCATTTTACTCGGAAATAACTTCTCTTTTGAACGTTGAAAAGAACATAAGCGATTTTGAAACTTCATAGCAGCAAATTTATCAAAATATTACATATAAGATCAGTTATAGAATGTAATTATTATTTTTATTAGTGCTTTTGACTTGCTAAATAATTTTGAATACAGGAAGTGTCAATCGGCACGACGGTCGTGCCAATTATTTTCATTATTTGCACGACGGTCATGCTAATTACAGTTCTTATCCACACGACACAAGAGAGATAACTCTAACATTATACATATCAATGCTGTTGGCGGAAATATGTACAACGACGTATACTTTTTAACAAAACCTTTATTTAATCCAAAGGAGAATGGATTCACTTAATACATGTTATAACGTTGAATTTTCATTTCCTTTGTCGTGTCTCAGTATAATAAAAAATCATTTTATTGTTCATCTTCTATATTATCTCTTGGACATTTCTAATGTTATTTTGATTGGAGCAATTAAAAAAGTAATTTAATGATATTTCCTCTCAATAATATTCTTTCCTTTTTATGATCTTTATATTCTCTCTACATAATCTCTCTTTCTCTCTCCCTCTCTCTGACCCTCCTTTTCCTTCCGAATACTTCACATAGAAATTATAATATGATCAAAATATTCTGTCTATTTTCCGTATTTATCTTATCATAAACATTAATTTTTAATAATAAAAGATTTTCTAATATCTTATTCAAAGATTTTTTTTAGTAAATATCTGCATTATTACATACTTTGATAGTGAAGATGTATAAAGTTTCCTTCAAACGTTTTTCTTATAAGAATGTTGATCAAACTTGTTTTGAGTTTTTCAAATATACATTAATATTTAACACCATTTAACAATTCTTTAAAATATTATACGATACAACTAATGTCCATTAATGAAAAGGTAATTTCAGTGAATTTAATTTCAGATAAAATAAAGTAAATATTAAAAAAAAAAGAAAAAAAATCATGGGATAGTTTCACACCTAGTCTATACTTTATTACAATACTGAGACCAAAATCTTGATACCGATATGGTAATCCAACAGAATCAAAGGGCATTACTGCAGTACTGTATTTCTTTTCCGCTTCATACAGTTGGAAATAAGAATAGTGTGCATTGGCGTGGAATATTATTTGCTATACCATGTTCATTGAACGAGCGAGGAATTCTTTAATGCTTTGTAAGGAGTAAGTTCATTTTTTGTGGCTCTCTAATCTCTAAAATTAGCTGGCCGGCCCGTAGCAACTGTTTCAAAAGTTGGGGGGGGGGGGGGGGGGGGGAGGGGGAGCAAAATCTGACAAGCAAAAAAAAGTATAAAGTATATAATATAATGTATAATATAAATTTATAAACATATAATTAATATAAATTTATTTAAAAGTTTGCCGTGCGAATAACCTCCGTAATTAGCACGACCGTCGAGCAGATAACTTCAGTTATCGGCACGACCGTCGTGCGGATAACATCGGTAATTAGCACGACCGTCGTGCGTATAGCCTCAGCCTTGAATATATATAAATTTGATATCATTTAAAAGAAAAATGTCTAACCTTTCTAGAAATGTGTCATTTATTAAAATATTCAAAGAAATAAAGAAGTTATTGTATTTTTTGTGATGGAAGGTGAAGTGTTCAGTGATGGCCCAAGTTACTCAGTGTACCAGGGCTTGTTTGATAAAAGTTATTCAGTGTTGAAAGAGTTAAAGCAAAAAAAAAAAAACAGTCTTGTATAGGAGTTTGCTATCATTTAATCATATAATAAAACAGTTATTGCTGTTTTTTGCAGTCAATACGATGATTTAGCCACCTTCGAAGTACAATATTCACTTTGCCCTTTGGGCTCAGTGAATATTGTACTCCTCAGGTGCCTAAATCATCGTACTGACCTAAAAAACAGCAATAATTGTATAAAATAACATAATTATTAAGTAAATAAAATAATTTTTTTTTCATAAAATGATAATTTTTTAAATACGATATGTCTTTTATAAAATTTCAAAACCTGTAGATGCTTGCATTCTCATTCTTTCTCCCTTTAATAGGTAAGTCCTTTCATATCCGAGTTCTGAATGACAATGAAGACTGAACAATAAGTGAACAGTTAGGTGAATGCAAAGTGAACGAACAAAAAGCAAATGCTGAATGCTTTGTGAACGGTGAACGC